GAGCTTCTGGTATATCCAGCACAAAGTATTCCATCTTTTAAGATTGTTAAAATCATCTGGTTCTTGATCAGAAGCCAATATAAACATACACCTAAAAAAAATTAGAATCCATGGAGCATTCGTTATACCAAACTGTAAGGTTCATTACTTTAGAAAATACTGTTAGCAAACCAGCCAAATTTGGCCACTAGTAATTTAAACTATCCAGTTCGGCTTATTTCAAGCGATATCAGCAAACCATAATCTTTAGCAAACACTAATCATTATTCATCCCATTAACAAAATGAATAAAAGTAATCTAGTGTTAGATAAACAGGATTCTTCTCAGCTCCCTTTTGTTTTTCAGACTGCAGTCAGGACCCAATTCAAACTCTTCTACAAATTTTTTGTGTAAATCTTGCTCGTGCAGTCCCACATTAGACTCGTCCTCCTTAAAGCCAGCATTAGATCTCTCATCTGCTTATCCACGGAAGCACTTGCAGGAACTATCAAGAGGTTGTCAAGAGGCGTAGGACGTCACACTCTATAAGGAGCAAAATATTGCTTCCCTTGCAGATGGCACCCAGTTTTATCTCAGCAAAACACCAGCTTCTAATCAATGTTGTTAAGAAATCTTAGAGACCAACAGCTGTATAACTCGGGTTTCTGTAAATCTGGCACAGTTGGAGGCAAAGCTGTAGTGAGAATTAATTTTGCCTGCCATTGTCAGCCTGGATACAAATAACAGAATACCTGGATACAAATAGCTGATATGTGGTGCCTTCATAAAATCCCTCCTGAAATACTGTGCTCTTAGTACTTCTACCTACATGATATTTGAAAAAATAAGGTATGTAAAATATTCACTAGTACTTTAGATAGCATTGGAGGAAACCAAAATCTATTTAACAAGACCTAAAATTAAAAAAGGCAAAAAGTCATGACTGTTTCAGCTGGACATGCTGGGGGTGGTCAGTACTGGTCAGGTCCTGGCTATGGGTTACCAATCCTCTGAAATAAGCAGCAAAGCAATTGAGAAACATACTTTTGTTTCCTTTTTCTATTCTTTCCTGTTTAGCTAAGCAGAATTAACAAAGCAGCTGTCAGGAGATGTTTAGCAATCCCATACTCTGCCAGTCAAAACCCTCCTCTATTAGCATCAGTGCCTGGACTAAACTTTGAGAAAATTTTATTTTATTGAAATGTGGCTTGGGAAAAAATCCAAGCATGTAAAGCACCAGCCAAATAAATCAGTGTTTCAGAATATTCAGCATATGAAAATGACTGGATTTTGTAACAGAAGCTGCTCATCATTTTTGATAACAGACAAAATTGCTGTCTGATCTTCAAATGTATCATTTAAAATTAAATCCATGAAGGTTGTCTCTACTCTAGCTGTTTTCCAAAAGTTTTGGAAGTCTGTGAACTTCAGATGAAAGCCTATCAAAAGGAGTAAAATAAATCCAAAGGAGAAGAATACTTTGTTCCTGAAACACAAGGACAAGCTTGCCTGTATATATGTAAAGAAAAAATTTGGTTGTTCTTGGTTGGAGGATGGTTTGTAGTGCTCCCTGCCTCCAGTAGACAATTACACGTGCCAGCCCTTAATATTGAAAGTATATTAGTCAGATTTAGCAAGCAGTATCCTCACAAAGGCATTGGTTTTGCTGTGACATACTCAGTTTAAGAAAGAAATGGCATTTTTCTCTAACACGGTGACTTACTAACATAGACTTCTTTACAGTAATCATTGTGCGTGTTTGCTCCCCTTTTTAGTGGCTAATTCAAATCCTGGGCTTTCCTGATTTAAAACAAGCCTAATCTAATCCCATTCAAAAGATCTTATGTACAACTTTTCCTTCAGAGGACAGGAGGGTGTGAAGATTTACGGCATGACATCCTGCCCCTGCTGCTCTGCTGAGAGCTGACAAACTGTTTATTACCATCTCTAGGAGCAGTGGGAAGGACACCTCCCTCCCCAGCTGAATTTGCCCTCCATTCCTGCTGGCACTGCTTGAATTTTGATCACCTATTTGTTCGCGAAGTCAGAGTATAGCTTTGCTGATCGAGATAGAGGCAAACATCCAAAAAGCAGATTTCTATTTTAAATAATCCTAGTTTATGGTTACAGAAATAACAGCAATATGGAGTAATAGCAGTAATATTAAGTAATAGTAATATTGAAAGTAATATTGAAGATTATACTGAAAGCCAGTGATTTGCAAGACCACCTCAGTAAATCCTGTTCTGTAGTGCAGTTGCATGTTCATCCTCTTCCCTTTTCTTAGGAAGAAATTCTTAATGTAGACTAGGATCTATGATAGTTTTATAAAAGATTCAAGCACCAGATCCATATGCTTCTTGTATATTTAAAATATATGGTTCAAATATCAAAGAACAAAGCCTGAACCATGTTGATGATTTTCTTCAGATGTATTACTTTCTTTTTTTTTGTCAGTTCAGGTTTTGCAGAATTAAATGGTTACATGAAAAATAATTTTGCTATTTTATGATTTTGAGTCATCATACATAGAGTTTAAACACCGATAAGAATACATTTGTCATCACAGCCAGTAATTGCTACCTACACTGACCTCGTGGACTTTCCCAAACTAATTTTAATCTTCATACAACCTACCCTGCTTATTAAAATAACGATAACACCCAGCATTTTTCTCCCTTCTTTTCGTTACCTCCATTGCTCTTTTTTCAATATCACAAGTGAAATACTGCATCTACCTTGCAAAGCCCTTTCTGAGTGGCCTCGTTTCTTTTAAGCAATAGCTTTGATCTTCATTGCATAGTTTGAGGGTGTTCAGATCTAACAGACAACATTTTTTATATTGATGGTGCAGCAAATCTGGCCTTCTCCCCCTTTTAAGCAGCGTATTTGGACTTAGCTTTGTTTAAGAGCACTGTACCAAAAGTTGATTGTAACACTAACTGGAATGGCACATGTTATAAAATCTATATTGCTGTTTATTTTTACTGTTTATATTCCCTTAATTTCTGTTTAACAGGAAACTCAGTATGTTGTTGTTTTGCCTCACAGCCTCTGGCCAGCCAAAGTGGTTAAACTGGCTGAAGTTCACTGATATTTGAACTGAATTTCCCTGGAATAAAATGTGTGATTAAGGGTTGGAGCTCCTAAATTCCACAGAAGTAGGAGCTGACAGCAGATGTCACTTAGTAAAGTAGACCATCTCACCAGATGGGCAAATATGAAATGCAGAGGCTTTTCCTGACATCATTTTGTTTTAATATGATAGAAATAAAATGCCTTGTCAGTAAAATATAACCAGACAGTTGCTTTGTAGTCATTTTGGATACATGGTTGGTAATTCAAAGTCCTGCTGCCTTTGCGATATTAATTATTCTGTGCCTCTTTGCAGCAAGAATATGTGTCAGACCAGCTGAATGTACCACACGCAGTTGTAGTGGTTCGGAAGTATCTGTTACTCTACTTGCAATTTAACGTTAGTAAAAGATACAGGAAAGCAACTTTCTGGATCATTTTCAGGATGCTAGTTGATGCATCAGGCAAAATTATAGACAGGATTTCATCCCATGTTTTGGAGTGGTATTCCCCCTGCAGAGGTATGTGATGTGTGTCTCAGAGTAGAAAAGCAGTTCTGTAGAGCTGAGAGCTGCAAATGTGAACTGCCTCGGGGGAGCTGGGGCTGCAAGCAGTGTGCTTAATGACATATGTTCCCATTAAAATGTGTAAGCTGTTCTCTTGTACAAGTGGTTAACACCTTTTTAATCAGGCCGTTTATTTCATTACAAAAATAAGCACCCCAGGTTTGAAAATGATAGTATTTTATGGTCAGCAGTGTATATATGCATTTATATGTATATAAAAATACGTATATACACAACTTTCAGTGTGATTTAATGTAACTGAGACATATAAACATAACATACTACTTGTAACACAAAATATGTAGTTATACTGTGAGCAAAGCTGTGGTACTCACTCAGCAGTATCTTGATGCCATCAGAGATACTGCTTCATTGAGAACTGTTTCTCTTAAATGTGGAAGGCAGCTGATGTCTGCTGTTTTGAATCTCACATTTCGACATGATCATGAAGTAAAGATCTTTGGAGCACACGTTAGGATTTGTCTTTTTCACTGAGCACTGAATTTCCTGATGTGGATGAATTAGCTGGTGTCTGAGGAAAAATAGTATTTTTAGTGTATTTAATTACCACTCAAGTTGTTTATCATGTTTTCTAGTCCTAGTTTTGTGTTATTTTGACTGTCCCATGTATTAATTGTTAAGCTTATCTTTTGTGACAACACCCAGAAGGCACCCTTTTATAAATCAAAAGTAAATATATTACCCTACCTTGCAGGGGTGCCGTAAGGCTTAATTAGTTCATCTTTGTAAAGTGTTCTGAGATTCCCAGATCAGCATCAAATGTTTGTTATTAATTATAGGGTCTAGGGAGTATATTGGATGATTTCTTAATTTAATTCTCTTCAGGCAACCTTAAAATAAATAACTTTGTAACATCTTTATTCTTTTAAATTCCTAAAGCACTTTTGTCTTGGCTCAAGTAATTCTGTGTATATTTTCCTCTTACTTACTGTATTTTTATTTCTGGTATTGTTTTTTTTAATATAGTAATATGAAAAACAGTCTCTTACTGTTTTCCCTATGAATTCTGTTATCTGGATTATTCTCTAATAAAAAGGTTTTGTTTAAACATTATATGGTGGGGCTTTTCTGCAGTTGGGGGCGTTAAGTAATGTGCTTGGCTTCCCCTGGGAAATTTGCAGAGATTACATGGCACTGCTGTGATTTATCATTTCTACTTTACTTCTGACTCATAAAACATGCATTATTTTGTGTTTACCTTCAGCAACAGATCACAGGAAATTTCATCATCAATCAAAGTGCTGTAAAATCAGGAGAAGTGATAATGTGACAAAGGCACAGTCAGCAACTGTGCTTATTGGAGAATCATTTATTGCTTCATTGTGTCGTAACACTTCTCATGTTATTGCTTTTCTCAGGATCGGGTTCCTGTCGATTTAGTTACTCAGATCCCAGCATCACCGTGTCCTACAGTAAGAACAGTTCTGCAGATTGGACTCAGCTGGAGAAAATTAGGTTTGTTACAGCTTTTTAATAATTTTCATGCTTTCCAGCTGGGCAGCTGGTGTTTAAACCTGGCTCTTTTAAAACTTGTTTTATTTGTTAACTTTTCAGTTTTCACTTGGTCATACACGTTAAAAGATGAAGGGTGAAATTCCTTGCTAATTGCAGAACTGCTGCTGGGTTTGGTAAATCACAATTTCATCCACTGAGTATGTGGGAGGTGAGAATGACTTCAGTCTTAAAGTGCAACTCCAATAACCAGCATGTTCTGGTGCCTGAAAAACCAAAACTTTGATGACTTCTGCATTTTAGCATCGCTTTTAATGTCAGCGAGAGCCATATTTTATAGTGCTACAACTTTCTACATTGGTAGGATAAAATATTCAATAAAAATGGTTTATAGTTTGATATGAACACTTAACATTCTTGTAGTAACAAGATTGTGGAGAATAGTGGCTTGCTTTTAAACAGACTGGCTCACATGAAAGCATAAAGGATTATGAATGGGAAAATTAAATTTTTTAATTGCAATGTGCACACCTTTAAAAAGAAAGTCAGTGTCAGAGGTGGATTTTTCTAAGAGACCATAGTATTTTTTTAAATAACATTAGGAAAAGCATTTTGTGCAATGGCATATATACATAGTTATAGAACTGGGGAAGAAAAAATTGTCATTTATATGTAATGTCCTCATAGCATCTCAGTCTGCCTTCCTGCATTACCCTAGTGTCTGTGCTACACAGGTGATTTGCTTGAGCCTATTTTCACTCCATTGATACAACTTGCAGAGCAAAAGGCTCCTTAATTTTTGATGAATAAGCAAAACTGTAGCTGCAAGACTGTGGATTTCAGAATCTCATTCTCCAGCTCCTTGTGGGAGTAAGGTTAGGATTTCATTTAAAAAGCATAAATTATGAAAAATTTTATTAAAACAAACGGTACTCATTCTTATCTCAGAAAAATATAAAGCAAGAGTAACTTCACTGCAAGCACTGGTGTTGCCTCAGAGTAACCACATAATACCTTTTATTTTTCTCACACTGATGCAAAATTACACACCTAGTCCATAAATTCAGCTCACTTGCTCTCATAGCTCTGCAAGCCAGGAAACTGAAGAGTTGTGATGGTGCCAACGCAACTCTTGAAACCCCAATTTTTTGAAGTTAATGTGTATACAGTATGATCTCTCTTGCCTCAACTTTGATGCTGGAGCCACCAGTAGAAAATAGGTCAATAGAGCAGTGTCGTGCAAAGTGGAAAGGATGAATTATGGAAGGATGCTCGTTTCTCCTGTGGTCTGTATGAATTACGGTGTTTATTTGAATGTGCTTCAGTGACTTTCACTGCGCTACACACAGCTCCAGGGAATGGTGGGAGAACTGGGGAGACATGGGACAGGAGAGCAGCTGTGAAGGGGAGGTGTCGTGTTGGTGTGTGCTGTGTCAGTGGGATTTCACCTCTGGACTCCCAGGAGGGAGGGAGAGGAAGGATCTCTTGGGCAAGACGGGTGCTGTGTGTGGGCTCAGGAAGAAGTGACAATGTCTCAGAGCAGCATTGCAGTGGAGGGTGACAGACATAACATTTAGCAAGTGCAGGGTGATTTGTGGGGGCAGATTCTGGGTGTGAATATGGGACAAATGCAGTTGCTTTTCAGCATTTTGCTTTGCTTTCAAAAGAGAAGTTCCTGTTTTCTTCTCTAAAACCAATATATTGGTGCCCTTTTTCCATAAAAGCTCTAGTTTGTCTCTAACGAACTATTCATCCTTCAAAGCATCACTACTGAGACAAAAGCAAGGTTGAGTAGCTGACATCTTGAAACACCAATTTTGTAACTCCTTGCAGCCTGAAGTTTGAATGTAGCTAATTCCTTGGCTGGGTGATTAATAAACCAAAAATAATTGTTCTCACCATTTCTTCCTTACACACAGAACTCAGTCCTTTCATTGCCCCTAGCAATGTAAAGATGTTCACCCAGAGCTCAGCTCGAACCTCAGTCCTTCTGAGTCAGTCACCTCGGAGTCTGCCCAGTCACCTCGGAGCTGTGACCAGCACTGAGCATGGACATGGTCCTGCTCTACCTTGCTGCTCTTGAAACATCTGCAATGATCTGTTGTTTATTGCTTTATTCTTTGAATCAGAGCTGCCTGTTAGGGCTGGATGTGCACTGCCTGGCACAGTAGGACTCTGCCTCAAGGCAGATATTTTCTGATCTCCACAAAACAGCATACAAGGGTCATCAGCACAGCTGTGTCACACCTAGTAAATGTGTTATTTGAGGGAACAGTTTTCCTGGCTATGGCTTAAAATTTGTCTAAATTCATATCGTTGATTTTTCAGTGCCCCTTCCAACATCAGCACAATCATCCACATCTTGTACCTTCCTGAAGATGCTAAAGGGGAGAACATCCATTTTCAGTGGAAACAGGATTATGTTCATGCTGGTGATGTGTATGAAGCCTGTTGGGCATTGGACAACATCCTGATCATAAATGCTGCTCACAGAAAAGTTGTGTTAGAAGATAATCTGGACCCTGTGGATACTGGCAACTGGCTTTTCTTTCCTGGGGCCACAGTTAAGGTTAGTCTGATTTTCCAGGGCTTAATGTTATTATTCCTCTTGTATGTAGAAGAAAACAGTAACATCTAAACAAACTGCGAACACAAGGCTGTTCAGATCACTCCGTCTGCTTCTAGAATTGGGCTCACTTTAACTTTGTTTTTACCTTTTTCCTGTCCCACTGGGGCTTTCTAAAACATTTAGACTTTTCTGCCCATGACCAAGACCAAATGGCAGTTTATTCTGTCATGTCAAAGATCATGTAACAGAAAATGTGAAACAGCTTCCTTTTAGCAAAACAGTGCAATATTATTGAAACAAATTCAAGTCTTTCTGTTGGATATTTTGAAAACTACCTGCTTGTTTTACTTGGTGTTATTGAGCTACAGCTACTCACTTTACCACAAACCAACACAAAAAATATGGTTTCCCAATTTTTCTGTCTGTGAATGTCCCATTTCCGTTGCAGCATGCATTCAAGTAGCGGCTGCTCCTTAATATTCTCTTTTTTGGCATGATCCTGTTTTGGTGTATGAAATCCAGCCAGACCATTATGCCTTGGCAAAAACTCTAAGGAGCCCAGCAAGATCTCTGTGCACAGAGTTCTTTCACGTGCAGAGTTGTTCAGTATTTGGAAAGCAGCTGGATTCTTGCTTTCTGTGTTTCCAAGCAGCCAGAAGTTGAACAGCAGATGACTCTCTGGTTTCATCCTATTTTTCATTCACAAAAAAAGCAGATTTATGTCAGGTTTCATTTATGATGCTGGTAATGGTTTTGGCAATTGCACAGGAAACAGATGTTGAATACTAGGGCAGTAAGAGGTTGGTTTTGGCCTCATCCTTTTCCCACAGAACCTGATATGAAGGGCCTCAAACTAATAGTTTTAGAAATAAATATTCCCACTAATCTACTACTCATAGTACCTGTGTATTTCTCTTTTGTTTACTTAAGCAAGACCACTTAAACTACATTGACAAAGTTTTTACGTGAGATTTTAGAGTCAGATAATGTCCTGCATATTTAATGAATACTATGTGATCAGTTCACACTTGTTTTGTCAGTCTTATCTCTGGATTTTAAAATCCAGCCCATACCTGTGAAGGTGTGAAACCAAAGCAAGGATCAATGTACCATAGGCACTGTCACTTCTTCTCAGATAGCCAAGCCTAAATACTGCATGCTCCTTCTGAAACACCTGCAAATAGCATCTAAACTTCAGCAAATAAACCTCTTTTGTTGTTGTTGATGATGATGATGATTCTTTTTTTTTGTGATGTTGGTGATTATTTTGGGGTTTGTTTAGTTAAATTCAGCCAGTTTGTGTCAATACACAACTATGGTTACATGACAGATAAGGGACCTAAACCCAGAAATCACTGAGTATTTCTAGAAATCCCATTTAAACTCAAGCCTTATATGGGCCACAGGTGAGGATTCAGGAACCTGCAATTTCTCCAAGGTCATCTTCTGTTTTAAGTACAAGTGAAATGTGCAAATACCTGTTCCCAGCTGACATCTAAGTGTAGCCACTTACACCAGGTTAAGGATGTGTGGAAGACTGCAGCTGTAGCCACACTGGATTAAAGCTATACATAATACAGGGCTTTTATTCTTCATGGGACCCTGCAGTGTATCTAGATTATCACCAGAGCACTCTTTTACTCAAATTACATTTTTAAGGTTCTGGCTCCAGTCTTCCTCAGATTTTCAGGAACAATCTTGCCAAATATAATTTGAACAGATTTTGCAGTGTAAATTTCATGTTACGTCAAAAGTAAAACTATAAACTGGGTCAAGATTTACATCAGATCAGCATAAACCCTGTCGTAGCATTCTAGGATCAAGAACAATTTTCTGACTTTTTTTTTTTTTCTTTTCATGCTTAGAACATTATATAAAAATGTACAAAAGTTGTAATATTTTCTTTAAACAGTTACCATTTCCCTAACCTCAGTTCATCACAAACACAATATTTTGTATAAATAGAAAAGTAAGAATCTTTATAGATTGTGCTAGTGACATCAAAAATGGCATAGGGGAAAGTTTTAGGAGATTTCTCTATCGTAGTCAAAGGCATTGGCCCACAGAATAATGTTTGAGAAACGTTGTTACAGGGATAGCTTGCATCACAGATAATTTTATTCCCTTTTTCCTACAAGTCCTTTTTCTTCCCATACATCAAGAATTTGCTAAGTAGTCCTGGTGAAATATTAAGAAAAACAAAAAGAAGTAAAATGGCTTTTAAAATTGCTTGTTATACCTTGTACATGCTCTTACTGGATGATTACCAAGTTGCAAAGAAAGTTGGTTTTTTTTCTGTTGAAAGCTTACTTTGGTAGTACTTGAACTCTACTAAAATAAACAGCAAACATTACAAATCCAGGAGTTCTACTGGTAAAACTGCTCAGATTAGCAAATTTAAAAGGCAACTGAAATGAAGGAAAGTACTACCATAAAAACTACTCTCTGGGTCCTGGCTTAGGTTCTGTGATCAACTCAGTCACTGGAGTGGACAGTGCCAGTATTAATGGTAATTATACAGCAATGTGTTCACTCCAGTTTGGTGGGTTTGGATACAGTGTTCTCAATAAACCCTGTGGGAACTTGCCTGAGCCCAGCTTGGGAAGCAGTTTCTCCTCCTCTCCCAGTCTGCTTGATCTTGGACCAGGAATTTCCTTACGTCTCTTGCTGCGCTCAGGAGTGGTTGCTACTCCTTTGAAAGCACATGGCTGGTTGCAGACGCAGCTGGACCTGGCTATTGAAATAGGATGCAAGCTGAGAGATAAGCCACTGATTTTGTGTGGTTTGGTTCCAAAGAAGGCAGCAAAAGGCAAGAGAGATGCTGCTAGCAAGGCCAAGCAACCCTTAGGAGATTAATTGAATCCACTGGAACGTATTTATCTGTGTTGGACTGTGTAGAAGGGTGTTGAACAGGATAAATTCCTGACCTTGTTTCAATATATCCAGTGACAGCTCTGAGCATGAGCATGGACACGAATGTTGCACTGGTGGTTGAGATTGCTGAAATGCATGAAACAGTGCTGTGCTGTGAGAGCTGCTAAAGGTGTGGGAACCTCAAGACTTCATAGCTAATCGGGGGGAAGATAAGATCTTCTTCCTTCAGTAATACTTCTTGGATCTCTACTCCTATAGAACAGAAAAGTGATCTCTTCCTTCAGTGGACATTTCATATTTCTTATGTATTTGACCAGTAATTGCTGTGTTTTGAGGTACAACATTTGAGGTACAAGGGTTTTTTGTTTTCTCTGATTGCCCTGGGCCAAAATTGGATGTGTAAGCTCAAAAACTGAGGCTGAGAAGGGAAACAACCTCACAATCTTATGTCTCTGCAGTGCTTTGATTACATAATAATAGCATGGAGACCAAACCACCTGTCTCTGAAATTTTTCCACTTCTGGGAAACAGCAGTATGGATCATGACACCGGAGCATCAATGTATTGATCATGATGTGTTAATCCAGTGACGCTTCTCATTTTTGAGAAGAGCCAAGTTACCGAATTGTTGTCTCTCAGTAGTTACAGCTGCTCTTCACTTGGTGGCTGAAAGTTGCCATCCAGCTGGTCAGCTGGGGCAGTTCAGTCTGCAGGGTTTGGGGACCACACCAGCAGATGTTGGTGCTGCTGAGCTGTGTGTGCACAGCCTGGCATGGCATGGGATGGGGCAGGAGGGGAAGGTGTGTTCCAGCCTCGCTGAGCAAGTTGGGTTCAAGACCAGGGAATGGCAACTGATGCACATTATTCGCTACTGTGTACATGACCAAAAAATCCTGAAACTCTTCAAATCCCAATATCCTGATTCACTAAGTCCTTTAAGTAACTGGTCACCACCATTCAGCTCGTTTTAATTTCCCAGATATGCATACCAGTGTAGCAGAACAGAAAGTTGCACAGGAAGAGACTGGGAGAACTGAGCACTCACACTCAGAAAAATGTGCTGAATATGCGTCTGTAAAACACTGTGACCTTTTACCACGCCCTGAGCAGAGCAGGGCTGTGCACATCCTAGATCTGCAAGTCCTTCCTGATCCTGTGTTGTTTTGTGTGTTACTGAGCAGAGAAGACATACACACAGGCCTGGGAGCTTGGCAAAGCGAAAGGCTGATTAAGCTATTCGACCCTCTCTAGTTCTAGAGTAGATTTCCAAATGTCTGAATACTCTGTTAATTAATAGGAATGGCTTTGGAGAGTCTTTTTTCAAAACAAACATCCTGATATTCCATATATATCTCTCTTGGGTTTGTTTGTGCTGAAATTAACAAGATTTTTTTCTCTTTTTTTTTGCTTTTAAATTCTTGTTTAAAAAAGCCTTCAGGTTCCATTTTCTGAATCAGATCAAATATGTTTGAAGGAGGAGAGGTAATGCTCTATGTATGCCACTGTGAAAATGGCAGATTGAAATTGCTATGACCTTATATTGGTCAAAATTACAAAGATATAGATGCTTCCTACAAAATTTCTTTGTTTTTTGAAAAAGATATAACAAGGCAGTATTTGGTCTGTGGGCCAAACCCAGCCTTCTAGCCAGCTGCTTTGCATCACAGGAGCCCTTATCCACCACATCTTCCTGGGAAGAGACAAGCAGGCTTCCTGCTGCACCTCATCTGAGAGCCATTCCTGCTTCTCTGTGGGTGGAAGGAGCAGTGTGAGAGAGGAGGAAAGATGAAGAAAGCAGTGCAGGGTGCACAGAACCTGTCGACTGGCTCCCTTTAGTGAGAGTGTGGCCACTCTGAGCTGTGCCTATGAGGGGGCATTTGTATATCCATAGGGCTGGATCTAGCATGGAGTTGCTCTTGCTTTTTTGGTTTTGTTTTTTTTTGCTAATAATCACACTTTTAATTAAATTAATAATACTTAGATACAATGCTTAGGGGTTCGTTAGAACTGACAGGTGGTTGACTGTGGTGCTGTGAATCGCTGAGAGTTGCTGTCAGGCAGCAATGCTGAACCTGCACCTTCCTCCATGCCAGTTCCTGTGGCTCGGAAGTGTTGGGAGCGGTGGC